TTCTGCACTGATTGAAAGGCACTCTTCCTTAAGATATGTTTTGAAAGTTTAGAATGGTTATTAGAAAAAGTGATCAGTGGTTTAAAATTAAAGGTGGTAGTGCTAACTTCTAGTAAATATTTCCTTAACACAACAGAGGTTTTTCTTGCTATGGATTATAACTGCTGATAATTCTTGTTAGAAATTGTGATGAGTTTTTTTGTCTTAAATTTGGCTGCTCTGAAATTAATGCCTCCTATTTTATTATGTTGGCCCTTGATGTCAGAGGTGGATGCGGGTGGTATGGCAGTAGAGACTAAACTTTCCCGATAGCATTCCATTACACGCTGTTGCTGTGTGACAGATGGCAGCAGAGAGGCAATCTGACTGACAAAAGTAATCTGACATGGGAGTATGTGTATGAAGCAAAGGTGTGTCACCGGATTTATCCATGTAGAAAAATTGGTGTGCACTGACTGCAAATCTATGGAGACCAAAGAACAAATTTTAGCACAGTGAAACAATAGGTATTGTATTTCAGCAGTGGTGAGTGTAGGGCACCTCTGTTGGTGTAGTTGTTTTGTTTTTGAGTGGGTCATTCAGCCTCTTGTTTATTGCTGGCAAAAATGCAGTGAATAGCTAAGAGTAGTGACTGTTGAAAACTAATGTTTTGTAGCTGAGAATTTGTTCTACCAAATATTGTTATTGTGATCTTTGTAATAGTATCTGTAAAAAGTTTTCATGGAAATAAGAAGCATTACTTTCAGAGCAACCTACTTAGTTCTTGTTTTCTCTGACCTCCAAATTTTGTGTGCAAAATTGCAGCACGGTAGCTGAGCATATTCTTCACCTAATACAGGAAATGTGGCCTAGGGCACTGTGAGAAATGGGATTTCTCACAACTGAGTAGGGAAATAACTCTGTGCACAATTTTGTTAATGAAGTATAAGCAATTCAGTGGAAACAGGGAAAAAATAAATACCGTAGAGTTAATCGGCCTCTCAGAATTCCGTGTTTCCAGGGTGTAGTTGGAGTTTTGGAGTTGGTTATGAAATGAGGCATATAACTAAGCCTTGAACAATGAGGAAAAACTAAATATAAAGTAGATGCTCATTAACACTCTATTATCAATTGTCAGTCTTGAATAGAGAATACCTTTGGGGGAAAGAAATGCATGCCCTTGTGCAATAAAGGAGTATGTAACAAAGCTGAGGTACAGCAAGAGGATCTGAAGCTGAACAGACCATAATTTCATCAGTTGTTTTAACTCTCCTTTTACTTAATTAGTCTGCAGTTGTATACTGCACAACAAAGAAAGTATAATTATTGAAGTTTGGAAGGAATTTCTGGAGGTAAACTAGTCCAACCTGCTCATCTGTTCTAACTTAAACAAGGCCAATCAAGAATTGTGTGGTCTTGTCATGCTGTAATAGAGTTGAAATCTCCCCTTCTGAAGTCTAGAGCTGTTATTCTACTTTTTGTCTTGTTCAGTTATCTTGTTTCAAACTCCATAAAGTCAGCTGTTACAGTCAAATAGAAGCATTCAAATAAAATCTTTGGGTTTTTAAAGTATTTTTTCCTAACGTGATAGCTCTGTAGTAGTAACTCTGATCATCCTTCCTTCCCAGTTTTTACTTAATGTCTGTACTTCATGTTTAGCCTACACTCACTATTCTGTTCATACTCCTGGGGAAAATGTTTTTGGTGTAATGTTAACATGCTATCAGCTTCCAAACAAGGCAATGCACATCCTGACTAGCCTCAGGGAAGGGAAGGGGATATTGATGTAACCAACAAATAGTTGTGCATTCATAGATATACACACATAGATAAGTTAATTAGGCCAGCTATTATTATGCAAGTAGCTTTGATACGGACAATATCAATTATTTCCACTCCCCCGCTCCCCTTCCAGTACCTGACAGTGGCCTACAGGAAAGTTGGGGAGCTTATATAAGGGAGCTATAAGGGCATGTAGTGACAGGATGAGGGGAAATGGCTTTAAACTGGAAAGTATAGATTTAGACTAGATATCAGGAAGGTATCTTTACTGTGAGGGTGGTGAAACACTGGAACAGGTGGTCCAGTGAGGTTGTGAATGCCCCCCTCCTGGAAGCATTTAAGGCCAGGGTGGGGTCTTAAGCAACTTGGTCTAGAGGGAGGTGTCTCTGCCTATAGCAGGGGGGTTAGAACTAGATGATCTCAAGTCCCTTCCAATTCACACCATTCTTTGAATAAGGAAACAACTGCAAGCCATCAGCTTTCTGTTATCAGGTTAACTTAGCTAGCGATCTTTCGGTTGTTGTCTGATTGTACTGAATATCATCAAGATAAGCCTAGAAATGAAACCTTTCTCTTTAAGGGGAAAAAAGAGCTCTCTTAATCAGTTAAGTCCCATGACAGGCCTATGAAGACATAATTGGTTATAATTGGCATTCACAGGAGCTCTGACATGCTCTACCTGCATCGAAATGGCTCTTAGAGAGGCAACAAAATCATCTGTCTTTCTATAAATACTGCAGAAGTTTCTCTTTGCATATAAACCTGCTTGGAATTCAAGTGAGAATAGTTTGGAAAGCAAATCTTAATCCATGAGTTCATTAACAATAAATAAACTCATCTTGCTTTACTTAGCGAACTGCTGTGCCTTGTTTTAGTCTATAATGCAGCACACAACTTTAAGAACAAGCTAATGAATTGAAGGAGGATATTTGTTACGTAGTTTATGGTGGGCAGTTGACTTCCCAGACCATGGCAGAAGCTTTAGATAATTACCAGTCATTGCCAACTAATTTGATGGGTTAACGTATACAGTTGTGGGATGGGTTTTAAAACAAACTTAAGAAAGTATTTTATATGTATTTTGCATGTTATATATTCCCCATCTTGAGTCTAAAGCTGAATCAACAGAGTTCAGTCTGTAGAATTAATCTTTGTGAAAATGAAATTGTGTTCAAAGTTCCGTTATGCTATTGTGTTCTTCTAACTCAGAAGAGGGAAATTTCTTGCTTCACTATGACTTTAGACACATTTGTTTGAGTTTACCGATGGTATGTTTTGGTAGGTATGCATATAATGAGAATGTGGATACATTTTCACTGTCATTGAGTCAGCTATTTATAAATTTTCCTTGTATGTGCTTGAGTTTTTGCTCCCCTGGTAATGTGTGTTGAGATTTCTAGAAGAAGCTACTTAAATGAGGGCAAAGTGTCAATTATTTCCACTAATATGTAATATTCAGCTTTAGAAGCACTGTAGCTTTATGGGTAAGTGCAGAGATGAAGTGTAGAGTGTACAATACAGTCTCTACATGTAACTACGCTTGTTCTCTTCAGGATGCACGTTGCTGGTTTGTACACTTGGGGGGATTAAGAATAGCATTAGTTGTGGTTTCTCTCTGACCAAAAATTGTACCCAGTTTTCCTGTACTTCCTGCAGTTCCACTTCCTGCAGTTCTCATACTTGATGCTGAAATGAGAGCTGAGCGGTTTGGGTTTCTATTTTGTAGCTTCTGATCTGTTGTTATAGTACTTACAAACTCAGGTGCAGTTGGTGGCTGGGACATTGAGACACATTTCTGAGCCACCTGAAATTTTGGATGTAGGATGGCAATTTTGGTTGTGTTTTCAAAGAGGCTCAGAGGCTGGGTCATAAAAATCCTGCTCGTAACTTGCAGTGTTGAGTACAACTGAGAAAGTGGTTTCTGAATACTTCTGCTTCTCAGCTTCTTTATCTGCAGTGGAAATTCCTCACTTGTATGTGTTGCTGCGCTGAGATTGCCCACTGTCAATGTGGAGGACAGTGTCCAGCTTTGTGGAGGTTTTCTGTTGTCTGAAAAATAAACCAGGAAAAAAAAAAAACTTTAACAAATACAAAACAAAGCACAAGGTGAAGGAACAAATTTCCAGGCTAACTGTAAAGAGAAGTGGTGCTAGAAACACCTGTCGTAGATATCCAAAAGTCTTAAATATTTTTGGAAAAACTCCTCAGCTATGAATAGTCTTCAACTGAAGACAAGACAGATTCCAAGAGGCCAAATGTTCCCTTTGGATCCCCAAATGAAACTAAATCCCATGTTTCTGAAGCAATTTCTGATTGGGATTTTTTTCTGTGGTGTTCTCTCCCTCACCCTTCACAAGTGTTGTGTTATCGAGCACTGTCTGGGATGATATTAAGCACTAATGGAATCAATTCTTGATAAGCTCTTCACTTTATCTCAGACTGCTTGCCTTTATTTAGGAACTGAAATGCCTTTCATTAAGAACCTGAAAATACACTTCAGCAGGTTTCATACAGTAAAAATGCCTGGAGTGATTTATACCAAAAGCAGATGGTTGCTTATTTGTTTGTGATTCTTCCACTGTTACGCATGTAGGAGCATTAGGATATTCTGAATAACATACATACATGTTTGCAAATATTTTCAGTAAGTAATCCATCTTTTGTCCATGTTCCTGTGAGAGACACACCTTCCACAAGGAAGAAATTGAGTTTTTGTCACAGAGTCTAACAGTGCAAGCCTAATGGTGAAGGAACAGATATATTTGTCTGATTTTTAAAAAGCTTCAACTTAATACCTCCTTGTATTAGAAAAAGTCTAGTCTAGCATTCCAGAGTTATGGCTCCTTGAAGGGAAACTTGTGACTTTATAGAAGGAAGAATGCATGTAGTAAGCAGGAGAGGGTAGTCTAAGTAACCATTTTGTGCACCTTAAGGTGCATGTTATCAATATCAGAGAGCTCACAATGTCATTTGTCACAAATGAGGATTTAGTGTACATTGTCTCAGTTATTACCGGCCAGAGTGTGGAAGTATGTTTTCATCATCTACTTAATTTTCCTGATTCCTTCTATGTGCTGTCAGTAGCATGGTCAGTGGAATATCTTGATTTTTACCAAGTCAACTAATGAAAGCATATGTTTGTGTATATTCCTTTTAGAAGCCATAGAATTATTTTCAGAGTATACAAATAAATGATGTGTGTAATTAATGCTTTTGTCTCTGAATTTTCTGTTTTCTAGCTGGTGCCACGTATATATTTGGGAAGAGTGGAGGCCTCATCTTGTACACCTGGCCAGCTAATGACAGACCAAGCACAAGGACTGACCGTCTTGCTGTGGGCTTCAGCACAACAGTGAAGGATGGCATTCTTGTACGGATTGACAGCGCCCCTGGACTCGGTGATTTTCTGCAACTGCATATAGTGAGTATAGCTAAACCAACATCTATGTCAAACCCGAATGTCTATCTATATGTTTAAAGAAAACTATCATGATGAAATATGTAATTCTCAGTTCTTCTTGTATCTTCAGTACTCACCAAATTAACCTGCCTTAGGTAGTCTTCAGGGTTTGTGAAAATTGTCGAATGGGATGAACAAGGAGGTAAATCTTGGTGCTGGAAGAATGGGGAATGAGGGGAAGGCCTTATAGCATTCAGTAGCAATAGAATGTATTCAAGAACTGTAGAAACAATGTGAATATAATTTCACTAATATTTCTGAAATTTTGGTGGATTATTGCTATTCTCAGAAAGGAAAGAATGAAATGGAATAAGAATTTTTTCTCACTAAGGAAGTTAAGTAGAACTGACCACGTTCTTATCTGGTGTGGAGAGAGTCAATACAACTGACGTTTGCTATTGCAGGGTAGTTCCAAATAGCATGGCCTTGTGGGAATTATTTTTCTGTTGAATGCAAATATTAATGAAGGACATCTTTGGTGAAAATGGCTTTAGTGAAAGTTTGCATTTCTGTGAGAAAATGAGACTAAGACTAGAAACCTTTTCAGCCTGTTGCTGTGTTTTTCCTTATAAGGTGGGGAGAGGGTTGGGGGCAAAACAATATTGGGTTTATTTTCCATTCTAGATAAGTAGTTAAGAAATTTGCTAGAGTTAAATGCTAGTCATGTTGCTTGATGGTCATGTTTTCCATGTTGTATGCATTAATTCATGTTGGAAGAAGAATGTGACATTTGCAGGGTTCAAATGATCTGGGGAGCTGCTGATATTTCATTGGAGATTAGAGAAGGTGTAAATAATTGTGAGGGATATCCCAGTACAATATACAGACCTAATGTGAATGATTGAAAGTCTTAATCTGGTACAGAGGAACTTAAAATGTTCAAAATCTTGTGGAAATGTAAGGAATATTGCAGAATGTTCCTGAAGTAAAATATAAGGCTTGCGCTCATTGCCAGCATTTCATGTGGCTTTAGTTAGAATTTTGTTATAAAGCTCAGATGTTTAAAATGATTGGAGTATGACTGGGAACCATTACACTGTCACCAGTTTTGGATCTCTTTTTGTGTTCTTTCTGAATGTTTCGTGTTTTGTGTTGGAATGAAAATAAAATCAAATCCTGGCATTTTCTCCTTTTTACCCCAAAGAAATGCTTTTCTTCTTTCAAAACAAAAGCCAAACAAAACCAAAAGCCACACTAAACAGCATTAAGCGGGTTGAAATTCTGTAGCTTCTCAAGCTAAAGCGGTTGGATGTGACTGAAGAAGAAATTGTATTCTTCAGCTATTATAACGTATAAGACTTCTGTATTGTCTGTTAACTGGAAAACAATATGCAAGGCATGTGAGCAGAGGTAGAAAGATGCGAGGTGGCTAGATCTTAGGAGGAAAAAAGATAGGATCTCATTGCTGTTGGCTGCCTTCTGGGATGTTACAGAGAAAATGGAAGTCAGACTCGTCTTAAGGTGGTGCTCAATAGAAGGAAGAGGGAAAATGCGCAGAAGTACCAACAGGGAATTTGAATATTTTATTGAGAACTTTTAACAATGAGAGTATGTACATAATGAGTTTTTTCAGCGTCAGTGACAAAGGTGCACAGTTTTTTTTCTGTGTAATTTGGTCTTTAGTATTTCCTCTTTCCTTACAGATGAGTGCAACAGAAATTTTTTTTGAATGGTCATCTTTTTGGCATTATCTGAGATCTAGAGACATTAGATACCTAAGCTATGATCTGTGGTTGGTATTAGTGCTAAAAGTTCTCTTGGCCACTTCAAGTACAGTTTGGCCAATTTTATGTGTAAAAATACTCACTGGCAGCAAATACAGTAGTTCAGCTTTCTCTTGTGCTTTCTTAGACATGGTGAATTAGGAGGATTTGCCAGTTATTTGTAAATAGCAAAGGTATGTTGCTGTGTTTTTCTGTGTGGTATTCACCCTTATCATGTCTATTGATAATACTGATGTTCAAATAGAAAATGTGGTCTGAGCCTCATGTCACTATATATACAGTAGATAAGTTTGAACTTTGAAAATTGCTATTGGCTTCTTGAATATTGTTAAGACTTTGTTATTTCTAGTTTATGTATAATTCAAGCATTTTATGTAAATTACTGAAAGCCACAGAACTGAGTTAACATCAAATTATTTTGGAAAAGGTTGAATACTGAAAGGTGCATCTTGACAACTAAAATGTGAGACTGTGTATGACGATTTACTTTGCAAGACATATGCAAGCTTTCTGTGAGATCTGTCTTCCTGACTAACTGAAAATTACCACATGCTGTGTGCTGTTATGTTCAAAGATGCTATCCATCTTCTGTTTCTCAAGCCTTGTCCTTCCATTAGGCAGGACTTCCAGTGTCAAAATGTCATGGTTCTATGTTTTTTGTTTGGATAAGACAGTTCAAATGATGATTAAAGATACAGGAGAAATATATTTGTATATCAGGAAAAAGTTATGAAACTACATTAAACACAGGAGAAAGAATTAGAATTAAAATATGGGAAATCAGGGAAAACCGCTGTTAAATTAACTCATTTTATGCATTTTTTACAAACTAACAAATTGGCTTTTGGGGAGGAATTCTTCTATTTATTTTAACTGATGGATGTTTTTGAATGAGTACTGGAGAGGCCTCTTTTTCTGGGGTCTTTCTGGTATGCCAGTCAGACCTTTATTTATAAAAACTATTTTTTAAGGATAGTATTTACTAAACTCTGGCCTTCTCATTCTTCCTTAGCTGCTCTGTTGTTTATTATAGTTAACAAATTTTTTAGTGATCATTTTGTACTGTGCATTACTACACTAAAACAATCCAGTCATAGTATGGATTGTATTGTATACAAATCTGGTACAATTTTAAAGGTTGTTAAAGGAACTTTTATTATTCTAGAGAGACTTCTTAATAGTTTTCATGATTTTTTTTTTTTTAACACTGTGTATGTTTTGGAGCATTCATTATCTTTCCAAGAGACAAAAAGGCAAAGAAGGTATCTTTAACAAAGACTTGGATATTGTTTAATTTATGATCTGTTTGGATTTCATTTTAAAATTACTACTCCTTCAGACACTGTGGAAATTCATTAACTAAACTGTCTTAAATGACAAAAAATTACAACCTCTGAAACTACTTTCTCTCCTGATTTACAATGTAGAATAAGCCAGCAGCACTGGGAAAATAGATGGCATGCATTTCAGATCGATGTTGTATATGAAGCATGAGGCGTTAGTGTGAATAGCTCTAACTGGATCATATAGTCCAACTCCCCTGCAATGAACAGGAACATTCACAGCTAGATCTGGTTGCCCAGAAGCTGGTCCAGCGTGACCTTGACTTGTCTACAGGAATGGGGCATCCACCACATCTCCTGGCAACCTGTTCCAGTGCTTCACCGCCCTCACTGTAAAATACTTTTTTTTTTTTTTTATGTCCAACCTAACTCTACCCTCTTTAAGCTTGAAACTCTTTCCTCTTGTCCTATTATAATAGATCCTTTAAAGAATCTGTTCTTTCCTGTAGCTCCCCTTCAGGTATTAAAGGGTGACTATTGGGTCACCTTGGAGCCTTGTCTTCTCCAGGCTGAACAGCTCTTTCAATCTATCCTTATAGGAGAGGTTCCATCCCTCGGATCATTTTTGAGGCTTTTCTCTGAATGCAGTTGCACAGATCAGTGTTTTTTCCTCTACTGAGGACTCCACATCTGGATGCTGTACTTCAGGTGAGGCATCTGCCAGGCAGAGAGACAGGATCACCTCCCTCAGCCTGCTGTACATGTTTCTTCTGATGCAGCCCAGGCTTGGCTTTCTGGCTGTAAGGGCACATTGCTGCCTCACATCCAGCTTCTCATCAGTATCCTTTTTTTGGTAGGCCTGCCCTCAATCCTTTCATCTCCCACCTTGTATTGGTGGTGAGGTTTGCCTTGACCCAGGTACTAGACTTTGCACTTCAGTTTGCTGAATCTCATGAGCTTCACCTGGGCTAACTGTTCAAACCTGTCTAGGTCCTTCTGGATGGTATCCTGTCTCTTGGGTGTGTTGACAGCACCTTGCAGCTTGGTGTCATCAGTAAACTTGCTGAAGATGCAGCTGACCATGCTGTCAGTGTCAGTGAAGATTTTAAAGAATATTGGTCCCAGCACTGACCCTTGTGGGGCACCACTTGTCATTGGTCTCCATCCAGATATTGAGCTATTGACCACCACCCTCTGGGCTTGATCCTGCAGCCAGTTCTTTGTCCATTGAACAGCCCAGTCATCAAATCCATGTCTTTCCAATTTTGAGAGTAGGCTGTTGTGGGGTACTGCGTCAAAGGTCTTATGAAGTCCAGGTAGATGAGATCAGTGGCTTTTGCCTTGTCCACTGATGCAGTGACACCATCATAAAAGACCACTAGGTTGGTCAAACAGGATTAGCCCTCAGTGAAACCATGCTGGTTCTCCCATATCACTTCTCTATCTTCTACATGCCTTAGCATAGCTTCCAGGAGGACCTGCTCTGTGATCTTTCCTGGCCCTGAGGCGAGACCGACAAGTTGGTAGTTTCTGAGGTCATCCTTTTTACCCTTCTTAAAAATGGGTGTGATATTGCCTTTTTTTTCCAGTCACCAGGGGCTTCACCTCATTGCCACGACTTTTTAAATATCATTGTGAGTGGATTGATGACTACATCAGCTAATTCCGCCAGGATGTATCTTACTGGTATTCTAGACTTTCGGATGTTCAGGCTCTGCAGGTGGTCACAAATCTGATCTTTCCCTCGCAGCAGGAGGAACGCTTCCTCCCCAGTCTGCTCCTATCTAACCAAATAATGTCTCCATATCTTAATTATGAGTTATATTTAGAAGTTCAGAACAGGGCTTTTACTCTTGCTTTTCCAGGCCTTAAATCTGTATAAAATAAGTCTTTGAGTTTGATATGCTTCTTTGAGTGTACCAAAAGCAGTTGAGCATCAATGTATGAGGGTTAT